TAGTTTTAAAAGCTTGTACTTTCTTACTTTTACTTAAGTAAAATAATTATGTGGTACTTTGACTTTTACTTGAGTACATTTTTGTCTGTGTATTTGTACTTTTACTTAAGTACATTGTATGAGTACTTTCTCCACCACTGGTCACACGGCAGATAAACTGAAGAAGCCAGCTGAGTTCCCTCGAAAATATCTGTTTGGAATTATAAATAGAGAAAGAAAAATAGTGGCTTAAACTTAAAAACTCTATTTGTATCATCACATTCTCAAAATTCAAATGTTACGTTTGTTTGTAAGAAAGGATTCTTACATTAATGAGATTCAGACAGAGACTATGATGGAGATATATATTTAAATTTGTTAATATCACACTGTTGTCTTTAGAAATGAAACGTAATTTAGAGAAATGAGTAAACAGAGTGATCAGTTGAGGGGAAATAAATGTTCCTGAGCTTGTCAAAGTGATGGGTTGTCAGACTCTTCTGCTGTTTATGCCTTCCATATTTCACTCAGAGCAAAAACGAGGCACTTTTGCTCCGTCTTCCCCCCCCGATCCTTTACTAAACTGTCCAAATCAATTCAGTCGGCACTCATTAAGTCAGGATTTTTCATTCAATTATTCTGCGTTCACACTGCTCGAAATTCATTACTGAGAGCTCAAATGACATTAAAGGATTTCTTACTAATTCATAATGTGGGATTACACCCACGCTGCCGTCCCGCCATCAACAGGAAATTCTTTTATCATTTATTGGGCATTTCATGGGTCATCTCAATCACTGAAAAATGGCCGTTCCATTGTTTTGCTGGTTTATGGAGCAGACTGTGTTTTTCTCGGAATAATAATCAGGAAACACAATGATATGTTTTCGAAGGAAAACAAGAAGGGCATTTCAGTCCTCCATCTTGTGAAATGATCTTGAGACCAGGGTTTGATTAATTTCTTATCCACGATAATACTTTCTTTTAATTTCTGATTTGATCCTCATGGCTCAATAAACACGAGGATGAGTGGTTCTGATGCAGGATTTCCAGCATGCACGCGTTAGACTTTGTCCAAATGAGGGTAAAACCACAGTGACGCGTGTTAGAGATAAAACTTTAACCAACTTTAACCAAGGAAAACTTCTTTTTTCATCATCTTGAGGGCCGTTTGAGTCCCACCATATTCAAAGAATCTGCATCCTTCAACACTGTCCACACGTTTTGGGGATTTCAAACTTTTAATCCTCATCTAAACTAAATTTCTAAGTTCTTAAATGCCAGACCAAAGCAATAAACAAACAAAACAATAATAATAATAATAATAATAATATCCAGATCTATGAAAATGAGTCTGCATCCAGTTCAGATTGCTCTCTTTCATCTTCCATCTTTCATTATCTGGATGGAAAAACGGAATAAAAGGCAAAGTCTCCTCTTGTGCACATTTGTGGGGATGTTCTAAACATCTGAAGAGCCCGGGAAAAGGCAAATGGACCCCCTCCTGCCTCCCGGAACCTCTCTGATGAGAGAGGCCTCTTCAGCTTGAGGATAATAATATAATATACGTCACGTATGATGTTAAACATGAGATGAAAGCTTGGCTGTGTCCTGACGGGTTAGGTGGCCGATTCAAATTCCGTTCAAGTGCAGGATGTGGAAAAATAACGTCGGTAAAGCAGACCGGGTGGTAAACAGGAAGTCACCTAACAAAGAACACACACACTGGGACGCCAGGCCGGCGTGGGGTGACTAATTTTTTTTTTAAAAACATGCGTCACAGCTTGATTTCAAATTGAAGGTTAGTCAGCTTGAGCCTGAAACTGTAATGGAGTGCTAGCCTGTTTAGGGTGT